CATCCACTCCGCGCGATCGAGAGTAGTGTGGCAAGGAGAGGGAGCTAGAGAATAGAGGAGGAACTGAGTAAGAAAAGAGACAAGTCAGCATTGTAACAAATAAGCATATTTTTAGAATTGATTTTTATATCTCAGAGGAATAAGAAAAGCAGTTAGGGGGAAAAGAAAAAAAAGTGTCCGGCTGTCAGGTTAGGCTGTCAGTAGGTCACTCACACTCAGCACCGGAGAATCGCCATCGACAGGGTCAATGTAAGCAGTGATTTACCAAATGCGGATTTAGACCATTAAGAAGGAGGAAAGAGGGATTAACAATTAGAAAGTAGCAAATAGTCGGGCTCTCAGAATTCAACTGATCTAATCCTCTCGGATACGGAGAGACAGCCGCTTGGGAGTATGTATGGCTAGCATGTGCCGTGCCCAAACAGTAGCAATAATGTACTTTTTCCGTTGGTTTTAGTAAATCATTGGCAATCGCGGGTGATTTCCGAGCAGTGACTGGGGTGCTATATTGAGCGTTATCCAGATCTGATAGTAGTGTGGTGGCTATGAAAGAAAAGAGATTCTCCGATAACATAAATCGCTTCCGACGGTTCTTGTGGAACAAGCTACTCTGTTGGGGAATGCTGTACCATGGCTGAAGAATCAGAATGCTGCTAATGCTAATATGCCGGTGTGCCTAATATCATGCAATCATGTACGATGGAGAAAAGGGAAAGTGGTCATGATGGCGCTGTGGCCCTTAATTAGATCTAATCAATCTATCGTCATGTCACTGTATTTCTAGATTCAATCAATTAAACCACACAGATTTAAATACACTAGTCCAGAAATGTATCAAAAATTACATGAAGATTATTATCGAGATCAGATCACTTGGCCGGAGACACCTGCGGTACTGCCCACCAGTCATGCCATCGGGCTTTCGATCCAATTCCAGGAATCTCAATGCGAAGGCCAATTGGAGTTGACGATGAATCTGGAGAATCTTTACGCCCAGCCAATGCCTTCTTCACACTTTCAATGGCAATACTCGCCCCAATACACGCTTTCATGGTATCTTTGATGTCCCGTTTCCAGTCCTCCTCAATGGCCGGAGCTTTGTTGACCTTTCCGTCAGAGTCGGCGAGGAAAGGTCCGTGAGCGAGGGTGGCCTCCCAAGCTTTTCGCGCTTCCGAGATGGCGCGCGTCGCACGGTCCAGGACGATCGTGTCACTGTCCCCCTCCAGGACGGCTTCCCGACGGAATTCCTCGTACGGAACCAGTTCCGGTAATGAGATTGGCAGAAAAGGCTTCATGCGGAGTTCGTATCGTAATCGTTCGCTGGAATATGCTTGCTTGGATGAAGCGGTTGGGAGGATATTGTGGCGGACGAGTAACACATACAAGGCATGCAGGGAGATCGCAAAGGCATCAACCGCAACGATCTGCGTAGTTAATCGTTCCAGCAGCCGGAGAGATCTTTGAGCGGCGAGTTGTTGCTCTAGAGCATGGCGCTTCTTTCCGATTAATGATGAGAGGTTCCGCTTAGCCGTAGAAGCAATGAATGTGCGAATCCGGTCTATATGGCCCAGATGCGTCGAGCAAATGTGTGAAAGATACCAGTACATCCCAGGGAGCTCTTCTGGCGAGTATATGGAGAGTTCAAATCCAAGTTGGATTATCGATCGAAATTGACATAACTTTTGATGGTATGTCCAGCTGCTAAGGGGATAGGAATAAGTGGTGTCGCCGTTGGGTAGAGGTAGTGGTGGTTCATGACTCAGTGTGCGCAGTTGCTCATCGAGATCTTCGGCCTATTGACTGGTTAGAAACGATGTTTTACAGAAATGATGAATAAACGTACCTCCATCTGCAGCTGATCCCAGTCAACTACAGTGTGGCAGAGTGTGCGACGAACACGACATCGGTTGAGAGAGGCACATCGATACGTATCCACAAATGGCTGCAAATAGTGAGTCAATTGCCAAAGGGTAATATTCCAAGTAACTCACCTGCCCAAACCGCTTTACAAACCCATCCATATGCCTAGCAATTTGGAATCGTGGATCAGAAGGCATCTCTGTTTCATCCGTGTTCGATTGAAGCAGCACACTGGATGGAAAGACAAGCTCTGTCAGGTCACTGTACAGGAATTCTTTAACAGAAATAGACCCAAGGATGTTCGTGTTATTGACGAGGAGGGCTTGAGTGAGTGCTCGAATATAAACAGACGGCTGGGGCTTTCTGGACAGCAAGGTCCAGATAGCAACTCTGAAATTATGAGGCCCACGATAATCAAGAACCTCTCTGAGATCAATAGCATCTTGGCACAACCGTTTTAGATGCGCCAGCGCATCCTCAAAGCTGATCTTCACAATGGGCCGGGGAGGAACCGTGCTAGCCAGTTTTCGCTGAATCTTCTCGCTGAAAGCTTCAGGTATCCGCTTTCCCAGCGAGCCAGATTCTGACAATGAGGATACATGAGGCAGGCAGGTCGTAAAGTGCTCCGTCGATTTTGTCTTAATATCCTCATCTTCGTCCAGCGCATGAAGCAAGCCGCGTCGAAGGGATAACCTAGATTTGATAGCATCTCGCAGTTTATTGTCAATAGTGCCCTCCTGCTGGTCAATCCACGAAATCGCCTGATCGATCAACTTCACGAAATGCGCCGTATCAAACTGTGATAAGAGTGTGCGATTGTAGAGCTGGGTCACAAAGTCTTCCTCCTGGGCACGGTTAATAAACATTCATCTTGGGGCAATGGTGCGTAACTTGCCTCATAGTAATATTCATGGGAAATGCGGTCATGAACGAAGTCACAAGCCTTGACCAAGGCCAGACAGTATGCGCGCAGAACAACATGTAATAATGGCGATCCTTCCTTTTCTCTATCCGTGTTCGCGCGGTTGAATCGAGCTTCCTCGACGGTCTTCGGTACCGGCCATAATAACTTGTCGAGGTACAGCGATGTAAAGAGTGTTTGAGAGAGCGGGTGCCCCATGTGCCATGCCATCTGCCCACCACAACATTCACAATTCAGCGAGAGCCCTATGCGACAAATGTCCCAGTAAATCGAGCTGCACCCACCTCATGGCAAAGCAATTCGTCCATGATTCCCAGCACTTCCTCCGGCGTCAACTTTCGTGTGACATCGTAGTCGTCTTCTAAGGCTTGCGCTTGATTCTCCCCGGGGCCAATGTATCCGCTGTCCATCTTCGAGTCCATAATCTGCGACGATTCCGAATCATTATCAGCTATCGATCGAGGGTCGACTATTGTCCCGCGTCAGCAGGTAAGGATTTAAACGGCGACACACCTCCAATGCACCCACCGCCTCGAACAGCGTAAAGTATTCATCTTTGACGAGTTGGCCCGTGCTCAGCTCTGTCGAAAGAAAAACAAGCGTCAGCGATCCGCGATTTAGGACGGAGATAACAAAGAGGATCTACTTGAGGCAGCGTTGGTGAACTTGTCGGTGATGTCGCTGCAGACAGTCTGCGAAACGACCCGCATCGACGAGACACGAACTTGGTTGTTCGGCAGCATGGGACAAGCACAGCGATATTACTCAATCTAGCGCCTAATTGATATAGAACAAAAAAGTGTTTTCGAAAAGCTATGGAGACGAAAACGAGGAGGTCAAACGAGGGGAGGTGGGGAGTTGGGCGGAACAAGAACCTCCCGCCCGCCGCAGAAAGTGCCATACGGCGGTACAGTAAGATATGCATATCCAAAGACTACGGCAATTGTTTGGTTTTACTCAGAAGCAATTGACTTATGGCAAAAGAATTCAATTCTCTATTTCTGCCACACAATCGGACTAATATTGCTACACATAATCCGCTCCTTCACTCGGATAAATTCTCCACTGTGCGACACCATCCTTCCGCCCATAACCATGCTTTTATATCATCGTATCAACTTCGCGGCAGGGGGGAATCGTTTATTTCTCGGACTGAGCAGCCATGGCGGCCTCGTTATCCTGGGCGAGCGATTTGGGCTCACCCTGCTTGCCGTTCTGTTACCGAAAAGAGAAATCCGTTAGCCAAAACTCAACCGACTCGTACCAGCGCAAAAGGTAGAACGAACCTCCCACTTGGCGAACTTCAGGTCCATCTGACCACGACGCTCAGCGGCGGCACGGGGCTCCTCCTTGAGAGAGCGGCGGACCGTACGGGCAGCGACGGCCATGTAGCGGTTGTAGCTATTCCAAGAGAACGTCAGTCATGAGTCGAAGCAGCATTGTCGGCGAAGGGGAAGGCGTACGTCAGACCAGCGGCTTTCCAGAAGGACATCTTGACGGTGAATTGAGGAATGCGGAGGTTCGATTTGGAGACAGAGGGGGTCAAACGGTCGTCGGGACTGTGAGTGTTGAAGCTTTGGAGCGGCGCGGGTTCGGAGGATCGGGACGATAGTCATGTGATCCACGTGATCAGACGAAATTCCCCGACCACATGAGCGACATCGCAATTGCATTTCTACGCTTGATTCAGTTGATTATCATTATTTATGGCATAGTCCAAAGGATTTTCTCGCGCTTGCTCTGGTACATTTGTCATCCTAACGATGGAGTTTCGAGTGTTCACCTCTCAGATTTTCTCTGCGGGGGAATTATACAGAGAATTCTGATATGTAATTAAACACTTATGGCTAACCTCTAGTTCGGTTGGGTGAGATCATGAATAGCACGATACGAATAATATTTGACATTGGGGCAGGCATGAGGACGGGCTTGCTGGCAAAGATGGGAATTTCGTACCCTGAATTAAGATCCTCATTCTCATCAATGAAGTGACTTATATCCATTGACACCAAAGCGCCATTGGTTTTATTCGCATCATCAATTCTCCTATGTACATTACTTCAACATGAGTTATGGACAGACACTCCTCGCGTCTTGTGATTGCCATTTTCACTTTTTGTCCAGATGCAAACTGATCTAACATTCTCAAATATCAAACGAACCAAGCAAACGCGATGATGATTCATTGGACAGGTTGCCCCGCAACCATAGGAAGTCCGAAGGGATAAAGCAGACTCTATTTCCTAACTACTCATTATTTCCTTCTTTTGACGTTTAATCACTGTGTGACGCAACATTGCCAAACCCTGGGTCGGCGGTCAGCATCAAGGTATCATTATCACCAAGACAAGAGCCATTAGAAGTATACACGCTTTGTTGTCTCGAATCGTAAGAGATTCGTTTTTTTTGTTGAAGTCACTTGCAAGACTTTCGCTTCTGGCATTCGCGAATACAGAAACGACAGCCAAACTCATTGTCTAATGGCATACTTCCAGAATGATTGACTACGAGTACGACAGGATGATTCATTCACAGAACGGGAGTCATCACAGGGAGGGAACTACCATATACCAGTCGGTGGAGGATGGGGTTATAAAGCAAGCTTCTGAATCAAATCTCAATCAGAATATTCAATCCACAAGTACACCGAGCGGTCAATTTACCCCTGATGAGATATCTTTCCGCTCAGATTCCCTGGAGGCGTATTATGCGTCGCCATGCTCATGTATACCTGAATCTCCTGCAAGCGTCGGCTCATCCATATATGAGTGCGGAGTACCATACGTCTCCCAGGACTACCTATGGCCCTTTGATGCTTTCATTTCAAGATCAGATAGTCCAGCTGGTGAGACTATTTGTCTAGAACCTTCTCAAGATTACCTTTCTCCCCACGTTCAGGAAATTGACGAGTTCTTGGATCTTTCGGAAACAAGCGATATGTCTACAGGTTGCATATCTACAGAGGGTGCTTCTGACCTCGGTGTTGAAGATGCATCGTTCACTTTGGCTTCGTACGTACCGGTGCAGGCCCGTCCTCTTATTTCATATACGGAACATCAACGAGCAATTCACTCGGAATATTCTCAGTATCCGCACGAGCCAATTCGATTCGATATGACCGAGACAGCTGGAGCAGCAAATGCGGACATTTTTTGCGATAACAGTGTCTGCCATGATCTCATAGATGCGGATGAACTTTACGACATGTCTTTGGAGGCTCTCGATGAAAGCAATTACTTCCATTTTCCATAGGCCATAGTTGCTAATTACCTTGCTAAGTAATATCAATCATCATAAACAATTTCTTACTCTAAAAAGCTGTAAGTGTACGGATTGCCCGTTCCGACCATCCGAGGGTATTCCCTCGGGAACGGATCACGTGAGCTTCTAGGCGGTTCTGCCGCCAAGCATCCGGGGATCGAGAAACGCCTGGAAAATTTTCGAGACTTTGGCTTCATCTTCTCCTCTTTCGTCTTTCTCTCTTTCTCTTTTTCACCTCCCTTCCTCTTTTCCCCTTTCTTACCCTTCTCTCTCCAGACCTATTGCTGTTCTGGGAGTTCTAGCTTGGGTTAATTGATTTATCCTGATTTATTCCTAATTTCATCTACCCCCCCCCCCCCCCCCCCCCCCCCCCCCCCCCCCCCCCCCCCCCCCCCCCCCCTCCCCTTCCAAGATGCAGCGTGCTTTCTCTGCCCGTCTCTCTGCCGCTGCGAAGCGTGCTCCCATTGCCAGGTCTTCGGGTTTCAACCTCCAGCAGCAAAGATTTGCTCACAAGGTATGTTTTTTCTAAGAAATTGGCGGTTCAATTGATGGCGCACAATCGTGCCATATTCGTGTTCCGCAGCTCCCGAAGCTTCCTGTGGTGACCTCGCTAACATCGCTTGTGCTCTCTAGGAACTCAAGTTCGGTGTTGAAGCTCGTGCTCAGCTCCTCAAGGGTATCGACACTCTTGCCAAGGCTGTCACTTCAACTCTTGGTCCCAAGGGTCGCAATGTCCTGATTGAGTCGCCCTACGGCTCGCCCAAGATCACCAAGGGTATGCTATCATAAAATTCTCCAAAAATGAGTTTGTTATTAAAAGGAGGGCCGTAAACTGACATTAATAGATGGTGTGACTGTTGCCAAGGCCATTCAGCTCCAGGACAAGTACGAGAACCTCGGTGCTCGTCTCCTCCAGGATGTCGCTTCCAAGACCAACGAACTCGCTGGTGACGGTACCACCACTGCCACCGTCCTTGCTCGTGCCATCTTCTCCGAGACCGTCAAGAACGTTGCCGCTGGCTGCAACCCCATGGACCTGCGCCGTGGTATCCAGGCTGCTGTTGACGCCGTCGTCGACTACCTCCAGCAGAACAAGCGTGACATCACCACTGGCGAGGAGATTGCTCAGGTCGCTACCATTTCTGCCAACGGCGACACCCAGATTGGCAAACTGATCTCCACCGCTATGGAGAAGGTTGGCAAGGAGGGTGTCATCACCGTCAAGGAGGGCAAGACTCTTGAGGACGAGCTCGAGGTCACTGAGGGTATGCGCTTCGACCGTGGATACACTTCGCCCTACTTCATCACCGACGCCAAGTCCCAAAAGGTCGAGTTCGAGAAGCCCCTCATCTTGCTTTCCGAGAAGAAGATCTCCGCTGTTCAGGACATCATCCCCGCCCTCGAGGCATCGACCACCCTCCGTCGTCCCCTTGTCATCATTGCTGAGGACATTGAGGGTGAGGCTCTCGCTGTCTGCATCCTGAACAAGCTCCGTGGTCAACTCCAGGTTGCTGCCGTCAAGGCCCCTGGCTTTGGTGACAACCGCAAGAGCGTCCTTGGTGACCTTGGTGTCCTCACCAATGGTACCGTCTTCACCGACGAGCTTGACCTCAAGCTCGAGAAGCTCACCCCTGACATGCTTGGTTCCACCGGTTCCATCGCCATCACCAAGGAGGACACCATCATCCTGAACGGTGAGGGTAGCAAGGACAGCCTTGCCCAGCGCTGCGAGCAGATCCGTGGTGTCATGGCTGACCCCACCACCTCTGAGTACGAGAAGGAGAAGCTCCAGGAGCGTCTCGCTAAGCTCTCTGGTGGTGTTGCCGTCATCAAGGTTGGTGGCTCCTCTGAGGTCGAGGTCGGTGAGAAGAAGGACCGCGTCGTTGATGCCCTGAACGCTACTCGCGCTGCCGTCGAGGGTGGTATCCTTCCTGGTGGTGGCACTGCCCTCCTCAAGGCCTCTGCCAACGGCCTTGAGAAGGTCAACACTGCCAACTTCGATCAGCAGCTCGGTGTCAGCATCATCAAGAACGCCATCACCCGCCCCGCTCGTACCATTGTCGAGAACGCTGGTCTGGAAGGTAGCGTTATTGTCGGCAAGCTCACCGACGACTACGCCAAGGACTTCAACCGTGGCTTCGACAGCTCCAAGGGCGAGTACGTCGACCTCATCGCTGCCGGTATCGTCGACCCTCTCAAGGTCGTCCGCACTGCTCTCGTTGACGCCAGCGGTGTTGCCTCTCTGCTCGGTACTACCGAGGTCGCTATCGTTGAGGCCCCTGAGGAGAAGGGCCCTGCTGCCCCTGCCGGTGGTATGGGCGGTATGGGCGGTATGGGTGGCATGGGCGGCGGCATGTTCTAAGCTCGCCCCAGGTCATCTATAGCCTAACTTCCTTTCTCCCCGGGCCTTTTCGTTTTCCGAGCGTCTCTTGCATACTTTGAGCATGTGTTTGAGTATTTATATTTATGTTATTTTCCTTTTGTGTATTAATGTCTTAAACGTATACCTCTTGTGACGTTTCTCCGATTTGACGCATTTCCTTTTATTTTCTTCATGTCATCTCCACTCTGCAATGTTGGGTCTGAAAAAGAAAAGTCTCAGGGAGTCCTGTGTATCATATGATGTACTTTATGTGCGCCGCAGTCTGGCTGCGGGGTTTTTGAGTTTCTTTTGAAAAATTAATGTTCATGGGCATGACGACTTTCAACTGGACTTGGTAACACTACTGTAGCCGTAGCTAAAATCGGCCAAGTAACATACTCCATGGATTTCGTAGTATACGAGTTTTTGCTACGGAGCCCTTAGGGCTGCAATTATCTTTACTTTGCCTGTCTTTTAGGTGATATTGTCCCTCATGACTGCAATCGCATACTGAGTATCAAAGAGCATCCAAAATCGAATATCTCCATAACATGGTTGATACCTGGCCCAAACCAACATAAGCATCCAATACATACAGTACAGAAGTAAAATTTGAAGAGAAAGAAACAGAGAGGAGATTTCAAGATATATGTGCATCGTTTTTAGATATGCCAAAATGCTCTTTAAAGACGAGGAAAACAAAGCAAGACAACAATTTTGCTTTCCCAGGTGGGAATGTAAATCTATCGAAATCAAGAAAAGGAAAGAGATGCGATATCATCAAACATTAACGGTCAATATAATGAGACGAGGTGAGTGGATCCAAAAGTCAAACAATCACACGCCGGCTTTGCAAGATACGAGACAAGAAAAATGATGTTGAAAGAGGACAGGAGATGCAGAGGATGGTAACAATGTTTGGTGGTGTATTGTATTCACAGATATGTAGATGAAGGATGTCAAGCGGAATCGGCGTCATGGGAGGTGGAGGTGGAGGATATATCTGAGGACAGCGTGGAAATAGAGGTATCTGTTATACAGAGTCAGAATCTGACTCTGGTAAGCTAGCATGATGCCGCTCATTCACACCTCGAGCCATCTTCTTCCCAAGCTCATATGTCGAGATCATAATAGCACATGCCGGAGCCACCTTCAGACACCGCGCAACCCAGCCCCGGAAAAGTCCTGCCGTACCCTCTTCGCGGAAGATGTGCATCAGGAACTTTGGTAACGAGAGCTGTTCGGGTCGAAGGTTTGCTACTGCGCTACCTCCAGATACTGCTGAAGGTGGTGATGCGTCCCCCATGTGCCGGAATACTTGCTGTCGGGTCTTCCCCACATCGAATGGGGTCGTGACGAATGCGGCGAGAGAGCCGGATGTCGCGCCTGCGATAAAACTTTCAATGAATGTGGGTGCGTCTGGCTCCAGTGGCTGTTGTTGTACAACAGGCAAGATATGTTGCCCTTGAGCCCTCTTGCGGGCGTCCATGAGGAGAGTCTTCACTTCTTCATACCCCCACCAATATAAACCAGAAAATGGCACGTCGCGCCACATTGTAAGAGTTAATCCTCGCCAGAGTGAGCTATACCCTCTAACCTGGGTCATATGGTACAGATCCTCTAGGGTTTCCTTGAAATGACCCGCTCCGGCGCCGGAGCCGGAGGTGGCCTGCAGTCGCGTCCGGAACATCTCAATGGGACTGATGGCCGACGCAGCAGCGATTCTTGCGGTAGTTCCTGCGACGAACGGGGCATATGTGTCGGGGAATGATCGTTTTATGGGACTGCGATCGTCCGATCGTAACCAGTCGTACCCGGCAAAGTAGATAATATTTGCCGGGATCCCCATCATCAGGGTCGGGCTGAGGCCGCGCCAGAGCGTCAATGTGCCTTCATTTCGAGCAATTTTCCGTAATCCGTCTAGTGTCGATGTAAATGTCCTCCTCCGTGTTTCTTCAACTGCACAGTCTATCTCAGCCGGGGCTGCATTTCCCAGGGTTCCCGTACCCGGCCCGGCTATGCATATCTCGGCATTCTGGCCGATCCAAAACACTTCTCGACAGCATGCTGTGACTCCGAGGTTGGGAGGCGCATTCTTCAAATTCTGTATTGAATGGGAGGTGTAGGGTGAAGTCTTGTTGGTTTTGTTCATAGGGGATTGGGATTGTAGGCGAACGCGGACGACATCAAGAGGAGTTACTGCAGTCGCAAACAAATTAGCTTCTTGTACGTAGGAAAGAGAATCGCGATTCGATTTAGTCTCCCTAATCTCAGGGTAACCAGTGCAGCCAGTCACTCACCTAGTACAGACGTCAGGATGCTTCCAAGGGTCGCAGACACCATGCGCTGCGAGACTGAAACATCCTCGGTGGTTTGGTTGACAGCCTGAGGAGCAGTAGCCCCCGTTCCATTTGTAGCTGCCATTGTGAAAGTGTTGTCAAGAAAGTAGCATGGCTCTCTCTGTCTTATAGAGCTGTCTTATCTGCCTGTCGGCCGTTTGCCTTGGAGAGCGGTATCGGTCCCCACGCGCAAGATCAGACCCAACACCGGACGTTGATTCGGAGTCTTCCCCTTTTTTCACTGCATATATGCTGATAGTGTGAAACGTGACTAAGTCAGCGATCGGCTGTGGAATTGATGTCAAACTGAGTAACTGAGAGTCTCTCTAGTCTCTACTCCCCGATGCGTCACTGGCAAAATGCAAGAAAAGTCGGCTGGTGGCGCTGTTCCAAACGTGGTTTAGCGCCGGAGATAAGCACCGTCTCCTCCCGATCGGAGATTCTTCTTTACAACAACAACTTGCATCAAAGCTATTTTACTACTAGTCGCGGACAGTCAATGGAGACGCAATGGCTCTGTGCTTGTGACAATTGACATTCAATATCTACTAAAATTCTTTTGTGTTTGACCTGCAGTCCTGGAGCTGGCCGCGATCCGGAGAAAACCCCGCCAGCTTATCAATCTAAAGCACCGAAATCATGGCGGACAACGCAGAACTCGAGTCGTTTCGACGCCAGTGGCGCGAAGAGGTTGCGCAGAGGACGAGGTCTACTAGGCCAGGACCCCCTAAACCCAGAGAGTATGTGCCAACATCGACAACGACAGCCCGACTAGGTCAATTTCCCCCCACTCGCCACGAAGCATCGGAGCGCGAGGATGAAGATGAGGATGATGGAATCTTGGCTCCTCCGGCAGACCAGGAGGAGATTGTGCAGCAAATTGGGCATCTGAGTCTAGCTGACGAGGATGCATTTCATCCCCGAGTTCCAGAGAAGGAGCCCAGTTCGGCTCTGGAGCATTTCGAAAAAGCGGTGCAAAAGGAGGAGGAGGGTAGCTTGGGAGACAGTCTGCAACTCTACCGCAAGGCCTATCGGGTAGGATAATATTGTTCGATTATGACTGCTTGTTTGTAGTACTGATCATGCTTGCTGTATAGTTAGACTCGACTGTCGATAAATCTTACCGCGACAAGCATTTTGCCTGGGCATGGAAGAAACCCACACAGCCTCCTGCTCCAAGTGCTCCAAGTGCTAGTACTACAACAGTGAAACAAGACGAAGAGAAACCCGATATTCTACCAATGCCCGACCTCATCGCATCCTTTGCGCATTTACCCATCCCGCCGGCCGAACCTGAAATTGAAAACACACCTCCGCCCCCGTGCCCTATTGCCAAAGTCCCGTCTGAAGTTATTGTTGAGATTCTGAAGCATGTGGCCTTGATGGACCCAGCAGCTTTTGGTCGGATATCACTGGTGTGTAAACGTCTGGCATACCATTTCGCACATGACCAACACATCTGGAGACGGCTTTGCCAGGGATCAGAGTTCGGGTTCAAATCGATGCACTATTCGTTTGCTTGCGACGTGTTTGGCAACCCAGAATACACGCTTGCTTCTCGTTACACTCCATTTCCTTTTGATACACCATTACAGATCCCAAGTCCGTTTGATTCATGGAGCGAAGTCTTCCAAATGCTCCCCCGGATCCGTTTCACAGGGATCTATATTAGCACGGCCAACTATACCCGACCTGGTGGAGCCTCCGCGTACCAGAATGTATCGTGGAACAGTCCCATTCATATCATAACTTACTACCGATACCTACGGTTCTACCCAGACGGAACTGTTCTTTCGCTGCTGAGCACCACACCACCACTAGATGTGGTTCCATACATAAACAAGGAAAACGTGATGGCGTCACGAGGAACTTCTAATCGACAACAGCATCAGCAACAAAAGCCACCGGACTCTAGTCATAAAACCGCCGGATCATCCGATTACGTTCCTCCTGTAGCAATGGCAGCGTTGAAATACACCCACCGGGGCCGGTGGCACCTGGTCAAACCGACGACGCTACCAGATCCACCAAATCCGAACGCCAGGCCCGAGCTGGCACCAGACCCATCGTTACTAGGTAGAACCCCGGAAGGCGTCGAAACTGATTCTCGAGACGTCATCATCGAAACCGAAGGAGTTGGTCCAAAGTACAGCTATACGCTCCATTTGGCCTTGCGGTCATCTTCTGGTGGAACCAAGCCTGCGAACTCCAATGTTTCACCACCCAACCCGGCCAAGAATACTAAGCTGGCTTGGAAGGGGTATTGGAGTTACAATAACCTCACAGATGACTGGGCTGAGTTTGGGCTGCGGAATGACCGGGCATTTGTGTTCCGGCGTGTTCGAGGATGGGGTATGAACTGATACGACTTACGATACTAGATACTGATAATCTTGTCAGTTATAAAATTACTGGGAATAGACATGTGAATAGTGTATAGGCCATGATTTGTCAAATAGAAACGGTAGATATATACAAAGTTTGTAGAGAGGCAAGTCGCATTGTTCGAATAGTTAATTATCATATCAAGATGACGAGACACCTTCTCACGACATAGCCTGACACTGGTCCAGTAAGTCTTGCCATCCCATGTACGATAAACTCCTGTGGCCTGCTCTTCAGGGCAATATTCGCCCCTGCAGAATGGCGATTTTCCTTCCCATTGATAGTCGTCGAAGGGTCCATCCGCATAATAAGTGAGAGCAGTGATGGCCACTGGTTTTTTAGAAAAATAGGTCGTTGGCTGTCTTGTTTTTCTCTAGCCTAATACTTTGTCCTTTTAGGTACTTTGATTTGGGGTTCATTCGACCGGAGTGTTGTTCATGAAGGATTGAGGCATGACTACTGCCATACCCATACTGGACAGCATCAAGGTTTGGAGAAGTTTGGTTGCATTTTGGAAATAGGATATATTGGAGATAGTGAGGTGAGAAGAGAATGGAGTCATTCTGATTGACTTGACCTTGAGGCACTGGGGGTTTAAGTATTCGAACACTACGCGTCATCGTCATACAACACAGAGTACAGAGTTGACTTTGAGATGTCTCCGTTGTCAGCAGCAGTAAAAGTAGCGGATCCCGGAAGCTCGTTAGTGTTCTGCGCTTCAATATGGCAGAATAATTGATCAATCATATAGTGACAGCTCAGGAAGCAGGGGGGTTGACTATATATCTATGCATAACCCTAAGACACTTGTAACGGTTCGAGATTCGCCAATCTTCTCAGTACGAGGCCGTACCCAAAATTTTCTAAATATGACAGCTTGTTATTCCATAATCTTGCTATATATTTCGTACAGAGTGGTACAAAAGCAAAGGACCTTAACTAATCAGATAGTAACTAACGGCGCCAAGCGCCTTATCGATAAGGCCAGCAAAAATTTCGGGGATCGCAACAAACTCGACCAAACCGCGATCGCAAAGCAACACATCCGGCTCGATAGCATTCGATCGAAGCGATTCTTTGGTCTATTTCATTTAATTGGTCAGTCAGAATATACCACCACGATGCCCGAAAGGGTCCTTACGAGATTCGCCGATTCGGACGACGAAACGGTCCCGAAGACGTCGCCCAAAGCGGAGAAGAGTGCAGAAACAGCGCCTGTGAAAAGGAAAAAGCAGGAGGATAAAGAGGATACGCTGAAGAAGAAGAATAAGAAGCGGAAGCATGATGATAGGCTACCTAGTGAGGAGAAGAAGTTGAAGGTGTCTAAAGAGCCGAAGACTGAGGACCAAGAGAAGCCCAAGAATGGCGCGGACGAGATGCCGAAGGAGGAACAAACACAGAAATCCGAAAAGAAGCAGAAGGATCAAAAGCAGAAGCAGAAGCAGAAACCGACTCGGGACATCAAAACCAATTTCACCCCCCTAAGAGAAAAAGCCCGAACACTCTACGAAACCCGCAAGAACCTTCCCATTTTCCCCCACGGCGATGAAATTCGCCAACACCTCCGCAAAAACGATGTTATGCTGTTAGTTGGAGAGACGGGTAGCGGAAAGAGTACACAAATTCCGCAATTCCTAGTAAATGAGCAATGGTGTCGTCCTACCACCATGAACATCCCGCAGGACGACAATTCGCGCAAAGACACCCCGGTGGGCGGATGTATTGCCATCACACAGCCGCGTCGAGTCGCCGCAATCTCGCTAGCAAGACGTGTGGCAGAGGAAATGGGGACACCACTAGGATCATCATCGCCGGCGAGCAAGGTTGGATACTCGGTGCGTTTTGACACCTCTACGGGGCCGAGTACGAGGGTCAAATACTTGACGGAGGGAATGTTGTTGCAGGAAATGCTGCATGACCCGTGGTTGACGAGGTATAGCGCCGTTGTGGTCGATGAAGTTCACGAACGGGGTGTGAATGTGGATTTGGTGTTGGGTTTCCTGAGGAATATGGTTTCTGGGAAGCGAGAGGGACGTGGTGGTGTGCCGCTTAAGGTGGTGGTTATGAGTGCTACGGCTGATATGGAGAGCTTACTAGCTTTTTTCCAGACTGGTATTCAGAATAGTCCTCGTCTGGAGAACAATGAAAAGAGTGCTACGACTAAAGAGACTGAGGATGATATCGCTGTGTGCCATATCAAGGGTCGTCAGTATCCTGTCAAGACGATCTACGCTCCGGAGCCAGTGCATGACTTTGTCGATGCCGCTCTTAAGGCTATCTATCAGATTCATTACAAAGAGCCAATGCCCGGAGATATCCTTGTGTTCTTAACAGGACAGGAGACCGTTGAAGCATTGGAACACTTGATTAATGAATATGCTATTGGAATGGACCCGTCCCTGCCCAAGATCCAAGTGCTGCCGTTGTTCGCAGCGCTTCCCCAAGCGGCCCAACAGCGGGTGTTCGCTCCCGCACCACCTCGCACACGCAAAGTGATTCTGGCTACTAACATTGCCGAAACGTCGGTTACAGTGCCTGGTGTGCGTTTCGTGGTGGACTGCGGCAAAGCTAAGGTCAAGCAATTCCGCACACGTCTTGGGCTGGACTCGCTCTTAGTTAAGCCGATTTCCAAATCGGCGGCGATTCAGCGGAAGGGCCGTGCAGGAAGAGAGGCCCCGGGTCAATGTTATCGGTTGTATACGGAAAAGGACTACCTGGCTCTGGACGAAACCAACACACCGGAGATTTTGCGATGCGATCTCAGCCAGGCTATTCTAAACATGAAAGCTCGCGGAGTAGATAATGTCATGGCCTTCCCGTTCCTGACGCGACCACCACGGGAGGCTTTGGAGAAGGCTTTGCTTCAGTTGCTGAGCATCGAGGCACTGGAAGAGTCGGGCCAGATAGGCGCTATCGGGAAACAGATTGCCAAACTCCCGCTTACACCCACTCTCGGTCGGGTGCTCTTAGCAGCGGCAGAGAACGGACCTGGTTGCCTGACGGACGTAATTGATATTATCTCATGTTTGAGTGTGGAGACTATCTTCCTGCAAACGACATCGGAAGAGAAGAAGGAAGAGGCAGAGACGGCACGTCGGGATCTGTATCGGCGCGAGGGCGACCATCTGACGATGATGGCCACTGTGCAGGCATATGCGGCCGAGAATACCGATCGGAAAGCATGGGCACAGCGGCATCTCGTGTCGCACCGCGCGATGCAATCTGTGATGGTATGATACCGCTTAGTAGTATCACCTGTTCTTTACTAACGGATGACAGGACGTCCGCAAGCAACTCACCACACAATGTCGACAAGCCAAACTCCTCCCGCCTACTGAACAACGAGGGGATCCTACACTCACACGCGAACCATCACCTGTTCTCATCTTGAAGAGTTTCCTCACCGGCTTCGCGACCAACACGGCCCGGCTGGTTCCGGATGGCAGTTATCGTACGGTGGTTGGGAATCAGACCGTGGCGATCCACCCATCGAGCGTACTGTTTAGCAAGAAGGTCGAGGCGATCATGTACAATGAGTATGTGTTCACGAATCGAAGCTATGCACGGGGTGTGAGTGCGGTGCAGATGGACTGGGTTGGGGAAGCGCTGGCTGGCGGGTCATGATCTACTTTCTTTTCTTTTTTCTTCCATTTAATATGCATCATAGATATACCCATAGAATAAATCTTCTGCATTGCAAACCCCATAAGTGCGTTATATATACCGTAATTCAAGGCGCATTGCATACTGTACACTGCCTGTAATGAGGCTGTCAGTTCATGGCCAGTTGGCAATTACCCTGCTTGGGTCCACACGGCGCGAATCAAAGAGGAGAATCGAGTGATTTGTGTGATTAAATGCATCATGTCTGTTTTGCTTTTCTTTGATTCCCTTGCAGAGTTTGCTGCATTTTCTGCTCTGGTCTCGTAGTGTGCTCCACAGCGCATAGGCTCTTGTATAATCGTATATAACGCCACGCCGTCAGCCAGACTATGTCTCATTCTTCTCTTACTCTTTAATACTCTTCCCTATGTCTTTTTCTATATAAATTATCTACATATATCGCTCAAGTTGACTTCTTCCGTTATCGGCGGTTGTTGACTCGCTGTGCGTCAAAATCACCGCATCGGGCATCATCTTTACCTATTTGGGGTTTCCTTTATCTGATCTTTGCCTCCGAATACCTTGTCTCTCTTCTCTGTATTCTGTTTTCTCTTCATCATTTTTCTCTCTATCATCACCTCATCTCATATTCCTCTCCTACTGCTTCCGCTGCTCACTTGACCGATAACGTCAGTCACGCGGGGACGATAAGAGATAAAAACAATCGCGATCTCCATCAGCCTCACTTTCAACTTTTTTTCAATCTCTCGACTTTTGCATCTTCACCACTCATCTTCTAGTATATACCTCGAATAACCATTTCCCATGGCCCTCCGTCTACCAACCCAAGCCCCTCCCCGTCGCACCACTTCATATCCCCACTCCCAACCCTCTCCGGCACTGAGTCCTTCTGCGCCCGCCCAGCTACCGGAAGGCAACGATGAATCTACACAATGGGTGGTCTTCTCGCCTTCTCAACCGTCTACGATTGCTCCAACACGCACGGCCTCGACAGAGCGGGCAACAGGAATTTCGCGGCTGAGTGATTTTGAGTCGTTCGGTGGGACCCAGACGCGGTCCGTGTTTGAACTAGGCGAGGACGAGGACGACGAGGAAGAGGCAGAAGAACAAGAACAAGAACAAGACAATAATAATATCGATGAACAAGACGATGATGGTACAGAGCTGGACAGTTTGGATGATGGTCTCCATGCCTTTCGCGCACCATCGCTAGCCGATGATGAACCGCCTACCGCAGCACAGTGGGACCAAGACCGGCAAGGGACGCCAGCGGTGCTCCCCACACACGATGGACTAGGAAGTTTTCAAGCGTCTAGTCAGACTGTCCAGGATAAGCTGTGGCAGCATGAGCAGTTGAATCCGCAACGAAGGCCCGAGTTGCGGTTACGACGGCGTTCCAGCGTACAAAGACATTTAGATATGGTCGCGGAGCAGGAGCAGATGACCAACGCGGAGCGGGAGCGGTGGCAGCGTATTGAGAAGTGGAGGATGGAGCAGAGTCGATTGTTGTTGCAGGAAGTTGAGCGGGAGACTCGTCGGCGCAGGCGTCGACGGAATAGTCGTGCTAGTCGGATGAGTGAGCAGACTGCTTCTACTCAGCAGCAAGGTCAACATTGTGCGGCTCCTTCTGGTTCGATGAAGAGCGCTCCTGAGACCAATAATGGGCGACCGTCGTCGCAGGCTTCCTCGTCTGGTTCGACAGAATCAGGATCTGATGAATCGTTGTGGAAACGGATCACTCGAAAGGTTATTCGCGACTTGATGGGAATTGATGATAATGTGCTGTCAGTAATCTTCGGAGAGTCGCTGCCTGATGATCCTTTGAATGAAGAACTCGCCAATGCTACGGAGCTGGACTCCTACGGCCTTGACGACCAAAATCACTGGCAGCCCAAGCTGCTTCAACGCATTGCTCGCGAACTCGGGGTTCTTGTCCATCAACTCTGCGAACAACCCGGGGCCTTCAGCACCTACCTTAGCATGTCCAACCAGATTGGGAATGAATATGCCGGCATGCCTCTCGAACGTCAGAGGAAAGAAGACGCGCAGATTCGGCCTTTGCGGACGAGAGCACCCTCTACTTCACTTGAAACCTCGAATAATGGTGGCTCTATGCCATCACCACACTTCTCCCCTACCCTGCCCGAACCCAGCGGACGGGAACATGCCGCACAATGGGGTATTGAAGAAGACGACGACCGCATGGCTGGCACATCCGAATCCGTCCTGCAACAAGAAAAGGAGTACTGGGAGAGCGATCTAGACGTCATGATGGTCTTCCGATACCTGCGGAACCGCTTCGGCGGAAGCGGGAATACCACGAACAACGGCAGCAGCAACAGCAGCTCTGCAACCACTACTGCTCCTGCGTCGACAGCCGCCAGTCGCATTTCCTCCCACCGCCAGACGCAATCTCAAGATGCTTCACGACGCGCAGCAATGATCCGCCAACACCACCCTCTCGTTGCACATGCTCACTCCCGTTCTGAAGCACAGACACGCCGTCAATCTCAACATTCGGCTGTCCATTCAAGCGGCATCTCCTCCCCAATTTTCCGTCAAAACTTTCGCCGCCGTCCCAGTTCCAGCTGTGCCAGTCACAGCGCAAAGTTGTCGACTATCTCCAGTCGACGGACCATGACTGGCTCCAGTCGGAATTACTGGGATATTGGCGGGAGTGTTGACAGTGGGAGTGCTATTGCGCCTGTTGGGGGTGCGATGGGGGCTTGGGGGGATGTTTAACATTCAACAAAAACATATTGCATTTTGATGTTTCTTATATAAGGTTTTGGGGTTTTTTTGGTTTTTGGATATCTATAAATATCTTGGGTCGAACATGAACATGAACATCTCTTGTCTGATATATAATTACTTTGGATATGGCGTTTCCTAAGTCTTGATCATTCAACATCATATACATTCTTGGTCCTATTGTTGATAAGTGCATTGAGACTATATTTCTCAGGATATCGTGCTTACACCTACTATTGACTCAGAAATGGCCCGTGGGAGTCAAAAATACATACATAGCGTATTCATGAACAGAGCAATTTTTTCAAAGGCATGAATATCTCATGCTCCTGCCTTTTCTACACCTCAGCATCACCCCAATACAAACCTATAAGCTCAAAATGTCACCACCCCATCAACTCAGAGGCCGAAGCCGCAGCATCCACCGGAACCCAATCCCACAGCGCCAAACTTGACACCCCCATCTGCCTAGAAGCCATCCACAATGGCTATGGGGACATATATATACTCCTGCCGCTTGGAGTGGCGGTATGGTTTAACAAGGATGTCAAATGGACGAAGCGGCTGTTGAATGCTGATGCTGGGCTGGGGCAAGGACGAGAGGGTGCGTTGCATATTGTTGCTGATGCTATTAGAGGGGATTCGGAGAGGACGAAGCTGTTGCTTGGGTATGTATGGGGCGAGGGTGGATGAGGTTTCTGGGGTGAGGGAGAGGGTGAGAGAATTGAGGAAAAGGCAATTCAGATATAAAGTTTACTGCAGATAACATAGATGAACTTTTGTGTCATTGGGATGGCCTACAAATTCCAGTTAAGTATTCCGTACAGGCACTCTTACTATGGTGAGGGTATCGAAGTTAATTAGGTCCAGTAAATGGAGTACAGCAAACAGGAACATTTTTAGCCTTTTTTTGTTCTCATTTGGCCCTAGTAAAAACGATAAATACGAACAGCACATAAAACACCTAAATCATCCCAATCTACTGAGCAACGCCCTCGTAGGCCTGGGGGAAGCGCTTCATGTTCTCCTCGATCAAACCGTGACCACGCAGGAACTGGACGTAGGCACCGTCCTGCTTGAGCTTGCCCTCCTGGCGGAGCTTGACGTACTCCTCACGGCGGACGGGGGTGAAGCCCCAGTTCTTGGAGATAATGATCTTTTGGCGACCAGGGAACTTGTAGGTGGAGCGACGCATGGCCTCGATGGCGGCGGCGCGGTTGGAGTCACGGGTGCGGATGGACAGGAGAATCTGGCCGATGTTCACACGGGCGACAACACCGTTGGGCTTACCGAAGGCACCACGCATACCAGTCTGGAGACGATCGGCACCAGCGCACGACAACATCTTGTTGATACGGACGACGTGGAAGGGGTGGGCGCGGACACGGAGGTGGAAACCTTCCTTACCGGCGATCTTGACAAGGTACCTAAGGATGTCATTAGCCATATGCCCATCTTGCTGTATTCGGGTTCATCGGGTCGCATACTTGTTGGCACAGATACGGGCAGCTTCGAGAGCTTCAGAGGAAAGCTGTTCGTATTCGTTGGAGACCATGTGGACGCACAGAGGGAAGTCGTCCACGGAAGCCTTCTTACGACCCAAGTCGAAGATACGGATCTTGGGGTCGGGAACACCACGGTTGAACCGGGACTTAGGGTAAGGCTATATTGAAGAAGATCATGTTAGCTTCGTGCTCGATTTCCATTTTAGGATCCATCGAATCCATCTTCAATTCCCATCCAGTTTTGACATCGAAAAGCTATATGGTTATGAGTTCATCACAAAGCGACCGCAAGTTCCCTGCCGAGAGATGCCTCGCCGGTCGCTTCGCTCCCACACCCTCGATATGAACCTCCCGATCACGCCCTTGGATGAAAATCGCACAAATCCCTCTCAAAATTCGAATATGGCACAAACGCACCTTGTTCTTGCAGTAGCGGTAACATCTCGCGGGACGACGGGCCATTTTGACTGCTGAAAACGAACTTCCTGCGAAACGGAGGGTGTGGTTGTCGAAAAAAAGTGGTGTCGGGGAGCAAAAAGAAGGGGATTCAGGCGGCCGTCAGCGTTGATTTCCAAGCACCGCCGCTAACGAGTGGCAAAACCCTAAGCCCTAGCCGATCCCGCCAATCAGCGATCAGAGCCGAGATGACGCATCCGCTTGATTTATAAGAATTGTACAAGCATAGAGCAGCATTAGTTACAGGGATAAGATTATGTTATCTTATTCCGATAAGATTTAGACATAAGTTCTTCTTTACTGATATCTCAAAAAGTGCCCGTTTCTACTCAGAATCTACTGGCTTGAACCAAGTACTCATAAGTTTTTTTTTTTTTTTTGTTATTATCTAGCATTATCCGAGTATTTCAAACGTCCATACTCGAGTAGACATAACATCAAGTCTTTTTCATAACCTACTGGGCACCGGAGAGGATGTCCGAGTCACCAGCGTCCAAGATGGACATGGTCGAGCAACGGAAGAGCTTACCGCAAGCGGTACCAAGCTCAATCTGTCGAGCAAAAAGAGCATACGTTAGCCAATGTTTTTTACCCTCCAAAGCCAAAATTGACGGCTTCTTCTCAGGGTGGCTCCCAGAGCATAATTTGATTGCCGGGGCTGTGAAGCAGAGCAACCTGGAGATCCGTAAAGCAGAAGAATAAGCACAAACTTACGTTGTTGCCGGAGAAGTGGTGAACGGGAGCCTTGGCAAGCATGGCGTAGTACTCGAGCTCAGACTTGCGGAGAGGGGGAGCGTTGGCGGCGATGATGACGAGCTTGGCCTTGCCGTTACGTAGGGTCTTCAGGGTCGACTTGTATCCCAGAGTGACTGGATGCAAAAATATGTTAGGATCATCCTGTCTCTGTATTCGCATGCATGTCTGAATGCAATCTCACCCTTTCCACTCTTCATCACCAGGGCCAACCTGGAGTTGATGTTGTCACCAGACTTCTTGCTCTTGGGGGCCATCGTTACGCTGTCGTCGAAGTCACCGGACTTTCGATCAGATAGAAAATAAAAAGGAGGATTGAAGGATTGAGAATGCGCTCCGGCCGTTGATGGTGTCTGGAGATGGTTGAGAGAGAATATCCGATGGAGTTTTTTTTTTCGTTGTGGGAGATCCGCCGGATGGGAGTTCATCCGCTCCGGGAGATATGAGTCAGCAAATCCATCTTCGGCACCAGCATGGTAACATACGGTAACGGCAGGTAAGATACATTCTTTATGCCTGAGGCTATTAAACATACGCATAGAATGGCCGAGTCGTCGTGGCGCAGAGAGACGAGACTCGCTCTGGTGGCCCCGAATCCAGAAACATCCAACGAGGATCCTTGTGGCGGTGGGCTTCATATTGTCATGTCCCTGGGCTGACATAGTATGACTTACAGGGTATCCTCTGATCCTCTGGTCACTGCAAGGCACATTATTTCGACTGCTATCTTTATCTTCTGACTGAGGGAAAGGGGCGGTTCTTGGGGGCCTTGTATGTATTGGTATTACCAGACTTGACTCCCCGGAAATAGTAACGGATCCCCAGCAATATGCCGTTTCCATACATACATACGTGTGTCCAAACGTGTACTTACAGACATGGATCCGTACATACAGTCATGTTGTTCATATATTATTTTGATCAGGCCAATCTTAAATTCATAAATAAAAAGAGTGCAATCCTGCATGGTTCATATACTGTTTTATTAACTGGAGGTGTTTATTCGTGGTCCCAAAAAGAGTTGTCTGCATATTAACTGTGCTGCTCCCACCTTACTCTCTCCCACCAACTACGGACTGACTTCTCCCCACCACTGCCTAACAACGGATAGTGTGTTTTGACCGCTACTACTCCGTACAACTTCCTATATACAACTCCTAATAATTTCCCGGTCGTTTCATCGTCATCGCTTGCTGACCATTCCCGGGCCGTTCTCCTGAACTTCCCCTGAATCCATAATTGTCCTTTTATTTACAACGATCACTGTCACTTTGCGTACAATCGCGGAGTTGATAGAGGAGCCAAAAAAAGAAGCCAACACACCACCCACCAAACCCGCCGTCGGTTTGGCCACACCGTCACCAACGCCATGTCTGCGTCACCACGCAAACCCGGAACACCCAAATCCTCAACTGCTGCGGAAAGCCCCTCGGTTAATGGTTCGCCTTCGCGGAGTCATACTCGATCTCCCAGCGCCGCCGCGACAAATGGCTTGACTCGTACTCCCTCCGGCCGCCAACCCGTTTCTGCGCGTGCTGCTGCCCGAAGGCCAACCCGCTCCAATCTCAGCATGTCGTCAAGCATTCCGAAAGTGAATAATGACCCGTCGGAGGAGGAGGCGCGGGCTCAGAATGCTGCTCTTATTGAGGACTTGAAGGAACAGTTGCAGAAGGCGGAGACGGCCTCCGAGCAGTACCGGAAGCAGCTCGGGGTCTTGCAGATGAAACTTGACGAGGCGGTTAGTGAACAGGGAAAATTGGAGGACCAGTCTCATGAGAGGGAGAGCAAGATTGAAGCGCTAAATGGTGAGATTCGTGAGCATGTTCGCCAGATCCGGGATCTGGAGCAATCTCATGAAATGGAACGGAACGCTATGCTACAGGAGAAGGAACAGCAGGCTAGCCGCGAGGAGGAGATGCAGGCTACTATTCAACGATTGAAGGAGTCTGTGGCACAGAAGGACATGAAGATTAATGCTGAGAGTGGTAAGGACGTGTCGCGCTCTTGTATGGGCCCTCACCCTGAGTCCTTTCCTTTGTCGAGTATCACAGTTTGCTAACGCCCACGCAGCTAGTTTCCGTAACCGGTCTTCCCCAGAAGTCGATGGACAGTTTGCGCCCTCGTCGCAACTCGAACGCAGCCCGTCGCGGAATAACTCTAAGCTGCTCCTGCAGAAGGACAAGTTGATCGAGTCTCTCCGCCTGGAGCTGGCGGAGTCTCAGATTAAGCTTGTGGAGATGGAGAACAAGGGTGGTGGTCGTCAGCGAGAACTCGAGAAGGAGCTCCTTGAGGCTCGCATGGCCAATGCTCGTCTGATGGAGGACAACGAGAGCTACCAGTTGCTTCTGAGCGAGCGGACCCTCAACGGCGACTTTGCCAAGGGCGAGTTTATGCGTGAATTACACCCTGACACTCCTGAGCCCTCCGAAGCCGCCAACGATTCAGGAAACAACCTGGGATCCTTGGCTGAAGAGCTGGAATCCATGGACGCCAAGGCCGAAACGGACCATATGCGCAAGCTCGAAACCGAGGTCCGCACCCTGAAGGACCAGAACAAGGCGTTGACCCTCTACATCGAGCGCATCATCAGCCGCGTCCTTCAGCACGAGGGCTTCGAGACTATCCTGGACAAGAACGAGAACGATCCCCCGGCCAACGCGAAGCCGAAAAATACCAGCACCGAGAAGGATCTTCCCCCAACCCCTCCTGAACACGACGATAGCGGAGGGCAGTCCTTTCTTAAAAGAGCTAGATCAGCTGTTGGACCGAACCAGCCCCCGGCCAAACCTAGGTCCCGTCCAACTAGCGTTATGCAACCACCTACAAGCGTCCCGACAGGTCCTCCCACTGCTCACGAGAACCCAAATACCGCACCTAGCATCCCGCTCAACCGTGCCCAATCCGTACGGCTTGGCCACCGTCGGGCTCGATCTGACCAAGCAGATGTCTCAGCCGCCACAGTCATCGGCCAGATATATCGTGGACGAAATTCCGGAGGTCCAGTGAGCCCCACAATCATGGGCCCCGGCTCCCGCCAGAGTCTCTTCGGTGGAAGTGTCATGTCTTCGGGTATGAGCAGCACTGGCCGTGCACCGTCACTGTCTAGTCAGCCCGAACGTAGCCGGTTGAGCAGCTCGGAAAGCGTCACTAGCGACCTTCACGAAACCGCTTCTACCGGTGCAACTTCCAGCTCTCCTCGTTCCAGCAGCGGTATGACCAACTATACCGGAGCGGTCATGACCCAGAACAAGCTGCGTCCCTTACGCTTGGTCAGTGAGACGCACAAGGCAGCCGAAGAAGAGGAACTTGCTCGCAAAAAGGCAAACCGACAAAGCTGGATCCCCTGGTTCAACCGTACGAACACGAATGAGTCCACGCAGTCTCCAACCTAAGATTACGTTATGATGCGGTCCGTTGATGATTGATATATTTACGCGTTTTATTCGTTTTTTTTTTTATTCTATCGGCTTTTCGAATTTGATATGCCCACATTGTTTCACTGTTATCACGATGCCTACCCCCTTACTTGATCGAACGTCAGGAAAGTTGGGACGTTATTATTGTTTTGGAATACCCTGTTACTTACTCATGGTTGCGATAGTGCTGAGTCGCTATCATATGATTTCTATCCATGCACAGAGGAATGTTTATGGTTGTCAATTTTCTTTTGTACTTTGACGATGGAGACATCACTTTTTATTGGATTGTTGTCATTAGAGTCTTACATTCTTTTTTAATAGGCTCTTTTTGATACTCCCCTGTTGCCGTTTATCAGATCATATGAAATCCCTTTTGACGAACATACGAAGTTATTATACATTGTTGTGAATAGATAGTTGACATTTTATTGCAGTAATTAAATCAGACTTGATATGAATCCTGTAGTAGGTCACAATATATATAGATCGAACCTTCACAAATAGAAAGAGATGCATATTAGCCCAGGACTCCTTCCAAATCCCAAACTACCATGCCCTAGACGTGCCACAGGGGATGGCTTACTATAGACCACTGAAATGGCTTGACATACTGATTCAGCATAGACTAAATCTATTACAATAATTCAACCCACAGAATTAAATGAATACCATGCATAGCGTGGATAATTGATCTCGGGCTTCTCTCAATGGGCATGGATATACTTCGGAACAACGTTGTGGCGTCTCCGCGCTCAGCGGCCAGGTTACAGTAACTAAAGTAAATACGGAGAAGCGCCTCGACCGCAGCCATCGCAATCAGCAATAGTCCCTAAGAAAACACCTCCCACGAAATAAACGCCACAATGCCCGGCTCCCTCTCCCTTTTCTCCGTCAATGCGGTCGTCCTCATGTCCGCCGACGACGGCTCTCGCATCTTTGCCAAGTATTTCTCGCCGCCTCACCCCCCAGCCGGTGTTGCGCCCAATTCCACCGACTACCCTGGTGCCAATCCCTATCCGACGGTGAAGGAGCAGAAGGCGTTTGAGCAGGGCCTCCTTGAGAAAACGAACAAGCAGACTAGTGATGTTATTCTTTACGATAACCGGATTGTGGTGTTTAAGATGGAAAGCGATGTGATGCTCTATGTGGTTGGGAGTGCAGAGGAGAATGAGGTGTTGTTGTATAATGTGGTTTTGTCGTTGAGAGATGCATTGGGGATTTTGTTCAAGTAAGTTTCTTACTGGTGGTGTTGCTGCTATGTAAAGAGAAGGACATGTGGCTGATTTGGTATACCAGGGGCGCCACGGACAAGCGCACAATCGTCGAAAATTACGACCTAGTCGCCCTCGCCATTGACGAGCTCATCGATGATGGTATTATCCTCGAGACCGACCCCGTCCTCATCGCCTCTCGTGTCAGCCGCGCACCTGCCCCCGATGCGCCGAACATGAAGAATATCGACCTCTCGGAACAAGGATTGATGAATGCCTGGGAGTTCGGAAAGAGGCGCCTGGCAGAAGGATTGCGACAGATGTAGATTGTCAGGTTTCTTTTTTCTTTTTTTCTGTGTTTTAAGCATTGGTTCTGAGATTTAATCTGGCTGGTCCGGCGCATTATTGTGTGATGCTCTTTGTTTATGACGGCTATTGATATATCCAATTTCTTCGTCTTTATATATTGTATACTGGGATTGAGCATTCTGTATAGAACTTGTTTGCTGAGTTGCGGCTTTTCAGGATTTCTCCATTGGCTGGGCGTAGTGGGCGTTAAACCAGGACAGGAATGTACATCGAAACAGCTGCAATTGATGCTCTAATTCTTAGGCTTCTTAGATCTCCGAATAATGATTGCCCTGAATAAGCTACTATCGAAAACAAATCGAAAGTGATCGAAAAAGGAAACGGAAAAAAAGCTGCCCCGCATACGTCACGTTTCCAGTCAAATCTCCTTCGGAGCTTCAATTTATGACTCTTTCCCCCGAACAGCTTTGCTGCTGAACAGAGGTCCATTGACTAACAAACAGGCAAGATGAAGCAAAGATTCTCGTCTTTGGACGTCAAGGTTTGCTTCCCTTTTTGGGTATACAATATCGCGCACAAACTCATACGACTAGGTTATTACCCGTGAGCTCGCCTCGGAGGTAGTCAATCTGCGAGTATCCAACATCTACGATCTCTCATCGGTACGTCAAGCAATTCTACCCTGCTCCTACATCAACATCTAATCTGGCATTGCATCGTAGAGAATATTCCTCTTTAAACTCGCCAAACCCGACCATCGCAGACAACTAATCATCGACTCCGGCTTCCGCTGCCATGTCACGCAATACTCACGAACAACAGCAACAACACCCTCCCACTTTGTAACCCGCCTCCGCAAAGCCCTGAAATCGCGCCGCGTGACCTCCGTCCAGCAAATCGGCACAGACCGCATCATCGACTTCTCCTTCAGCGATGGCATTTACCATTTATTCCTGGAGTTCTACGCAGGCGGGAACATCATCCTCACCGATCGCGAGTATAATATCCTAGCCGTGTTCCGGACGGTGCCAGAGGAGAATGTCCGGGTTGGGTTGAAGTATACGGTTACCGATAAGCAAAATTACCACGGGGTGCCGGATATCACGGCGGAGAGGGTTCGGGAGACGTTGGAGAAGGCGCAGGAGGCGTTTGCGAAGGAGGATGCGGGGCCGAAAAAGTCGAAGAAGAAGGGTGTGGATGTCTTGAGGAAGGCGCTGTCTCAGGGGTTTCCGGAATATCCGCCGCTGCTTCTGGATCATGCGTTTGCTGTGAAGGAGTTTGATTCGGCGACCCCGTTAGCGCAGGTTTTGCAGGATGAGAGTCTTTTGCAGGGGGTGTTTGGTGTTTTGGAGGAGGCGCGAAGTGTCTCTGAAGAGCTTTCTGCGAAGGATAGTCATCCGGGCTATATCGTCGCGAAAGAGGATACTCGACCTGCCGAACCCACCGCTGAGGGCGAGAATGAAGAACCGAAGAAGCCAGCTTTGCTCTACGAAGACTTCCATCCTTTCAAGCCTCGACAATTCGCAGAAAAACCGGATATCACGATTCTGGAATTCGACCGCTTCAACGCTACTATCGACGAGTACTTCTCGTCCGTGGAGTCCCAGAAGCTGGAATCGAGACTCACGGAACGCGAGGAGGCAGCGAAGAAAAAGCTTGATGCAGTCAAACAGGAGCACCAGAAGCGCCTGGGAGAGCTTGAGAAGGCCCAGGATCTGCATATCCGCAAAGCAGGTGCAATTGAGGATAACGTTTACCGTGTCCAGGAAGCTATGGATGCAGTTAACGGCCTGATCGCCCAGGGAATGGATTGGGTGGAAATCGAACGCTTGGTTGAGATGGAGCAAGGTCGCGGTAACCCGGTTGCCAAGATTATCAAGCTGCCGCTGAAGCTGCACGAGAACACCATCACTTTGCTCCTGGGTGAAGCGGGAAATGTTGAAGACGAGGATGAGAAGATCTTTACTGATGACGAATCCGAGGAAGAATCGGAGGATGAGGAACAGGAAGAGGCTAAATCTGTGGAGAGGCAGTCCGCGTTGCTGACGATCGATATCGACCTTGGTCTCACGCCGTGGGCAAACGCGTCCCAGTACTATGACCAGAAGAAGGTAGCTGCCGCGAAGCAGCAAAAGACGGCCCAATCGTCTACCAAGGCGCTGAAAAGTCATGAGAAGAAGGTTACTCAAGATTTGAAGCGTGGGCTGAAGCAAGAGAAGCAAATATTGCATCTCTCTAGAAACCCTTTCTGGTTCGAAAAATTCTTGTTCTTCATATCCTCAGAAGGCTACTTAGTCTTGGGTGGTCGCGACGCCATGCAAAGCGAAATGCTTTACCGGCGCCAGCTCAAAAAAGGCGACATCTTCGTAAACGCCGATCTGCAAGGCGCTACTCCCATGGTAGTCAAGAACAGACCCGGAGCTGCCAACGCGCCAATCCCCCCAAGCACCCTTTCCCAAGCTGGTAATCTTTGCGTCTCTACCTCGAGCGCTTGGGATTCCAAGGCAGTCATGCCTGCATACTGGGTTGAGGCGAGCCAAGTGACCAAGACTGGCCCCGGCGGTATTGTGCCTACGGGTGAATTTATCGTTAATGGAGAGAAGAACTTTTTGGCTCCGTCGCAGCTTGTTCTTGGATTTGGTGTGATGTTCCAGATAAGTAAGGAGAGTCTTCGGAACCACAAGACAGGGAGATTTGACACCTCGGAGGTTGCTGAGGGGCTTCCTGCGGTAGAGCCAGCTGAGCGCAAAGAGTTCGTCCAGGAGCAGATTACAGCAGAAGTTCCGAAGGAAGCTGGGGATGCTAACGGAAAGGAACAAGAGGTGAAACAAGAACAGGAGCAAGAACAGGAGCTAGAACAGGACTCCGAATCGGATGAGGAGGATCAAGATCAAGCTCCTGCGAAGAATCCCCTTCAACGCGGAGTTTCTGAAGCACAGAATGAGCCTGGTAGCCCTGGGCCAGATGAAAAGAATGCTGAAGGCGAGGATCAAGAGAATGGAGAGGCGGAACAAAAACTAGAAGAAGGGGTAGAGAACGAAGAGGCCCAATATGAGGCAGAGGAACAAGCACCAGAGGCAGAAGAAGACCAACAACTCTCCGCAAGAGAGCGACGCGCGCTTCGAAAAGGACAAATCGACTCGCCTGCCCCAGCACTCAAAGGTAAGCCTTCTGCACAGCCTAAACAGCCAGCAGCCAAGCAACCGCCTGCTCCTACACGCGGCAAGAAGGCCAAGAACAAGAAGGCCGCAGCCAAGTACGCAGACCAAGACGAGGACGAACGCGAACTCGCACTCCGCGTCCTTGGCGGCAAGAGCGCCAAAACCGAAAAGGCTGAAGCCGCTGCAGCAGCAAAGGAAGCCCGCGAGCGCGAAGCTGAAGCAGCGAAGAAGCGCCGCAAGGCCCAGCACGAACGCGCCGCGGAGGCAGAGCGCAAACGACAAGCCCTCTTTGAAGCTGATGACTACGACGAGGAAACTGCGGTTGCTGAGGCAGCGGACCTTTCCTGGATCCCGGCCCTTGTTGGTACTCCACACCCCAAGGATGAAATCATTGCTGCGATTCCCATCTGTGCACCATGGGCCTCTCTGGGTCGCTATAAGTACCGCGTGAAATTGCAGCCGGGTGCCGTGAAGAAGGGCAAGGCTGTGAAGGAGATCATCGGACGGTGGGTAGCAGAGACGACCACTGGCAAGGTGAAGAAGGAGCAGGCTGAGGATCTGGGTCTCAGTCTGGCTGATGCGGAGAAATTGCGGACTCGGGAGGGGGAGTTGATCAAGACGTGGAAGGAGACGGAGATTATCAACACGGTGCCTGTGGGTAAGGTGCGGATTATGGGGGCTACAGGTGGAGGAGGAGGCGGTGGTGACTCCAAAGGGAAAGGCAAAGGTGGTAATCCCAAAGGTGGTAACGCTAAAGGAGGAAAGGGTGGGAAGAAGAAGTAAACCTGATATTTACACATAGGATAACTATGGTTCGAAGATATGGTTTGTATAGAATAGAGAACATGATATCTATGTTCAATTGCTGTACAGCACGCCAGCTCCAATAGAAATACCGTCTAGAACCGAATATTTGACTGGTATCTACGTCTTTTTGCCTCAATCCTTTTTATAGATCTGGAGACTACTCTGGAATAGATATGCGAAATCGGAAACCAAATGCATACCGCTTAGTCATCGTTGATGTCATCGTGAAGATTTTCGATCGTTTCAAAAGATTGATTTAAAGCAGAAAATGCCATGAAGGATTGTCGTTCTTAGCCTCGCTTATCGCCCTTTGCCAAGCACAAAAGAAGCTATTACACTCAGGGACACATACGAAAAGGATTCTAGAAAGCAGCCCTACGAAGCCCACGCACACTCCAGACCTCACCCCGCGACTACGACATCGCACATACGGAGCATTATACTTCTGCCCAATTCCCGGTCTTGATCCCAGTGGACTCATTAGATCATATCCACTGTCGTCATAAAGGGTGTCAAGTTGTTGCCCTATTTCCGTCCTCTTATTGCTGGCGGCCGCGCCGTCAGGTCTATCACTAACGCAGCAACCGTGGCGATGACGAACGACCAGACCACGCGAATCCTCCCCGTCCAACGATTGAACATTAAAGGTCCCACGGACAAGCCTCTTCCGGAATGGTGGGCGAGTGAGCGCCAGAGCAAGACCCCTGAGGCCACGGCCATCGAAGAGGCAGCGGAACTTCTACGAACGAGTGATATCCCCGTTGCATTCCCGACGGAGACGGTATATGGATTGGGAGCTGATGCTACACGGAGTGCAGCGGTGCAGGGAATCTACAAGGCAAAGCAGAGGCCATCGGATAACCCGTTGATCGTACATGTGGATTCCCTGGCGATGCTGGAGCGTCTGCTCAATCCCGGTATGAGCGCGGCTGACACAACCGATACACCACTCAAGTCAATTCCCTTGATCTACCACAAACTGCTCTCGCGATTCTGGCCGGGACCACTTACGATTATTCTTCCGAATCCGTCCGGGTCGTCGTTGGCTAAGGAGGTTACTTCATATCTGACTACGTTTGGTGTGCGCATGCCTGCGTCGCCGTTGGCGCGTCTGTTGATTCATGCTGCGGATAGGCCCTTGGCTGCGCCGTCGGCTAATGCGTCTACCAAGCCGTCTCCAACGACGGCGCAGCATGTTCACCATGACCTTCATGGTCGGATTGAGGTCATTCTGGACGGTGGCCCGTGTGCGGTCGGGGTGGAAAGTACGGTTGTTGATGGACTATCAGACCCTCCTGTCATTCTACGCCCTGGTGGAATTGGCATTGACGATCTGCGCCAGTGTGAAGGCTGGGAGAATGTGCAGATCGCATACAACGATGGCAGTCACGAGGTCAAGGAAGCCCCGCGGGCACCAGGAATGAAATACCGCCACTACTCCCCCAAGGCGCGGGTAGTCCTATTCGAGCCCGAATGCAGCGAAGAGAAGGTCGCAAAGCGCGTGCGCAAGGACATGGAAGACAGCGCAGTGGGCTCGCACTCGGTCGGAATCGTGCGCACCCGTCACTGGGCACCAGGACTAGGCCTGTACGAACCCGCGGAGAAAGAAAAGACTCTACAGCGCATCCAAGAAGCACCTACCGGAAGCTTGGTCAGCTTCTCTGTCCCGCTCAAGGACCATGTGAAGGACTGTTTTACGTCGAAGCCGGCATACGATTGCGCGCTGGGGACGGATGTCGGGCTGATTGCTCGGGGGCTGTTTGCGGCTCTGCGCGCGATGGATGATGAAGAGGTAGACGTCATATATGTCGAGGGACTGGTGGCTGAGCATGGGGATTTGCATGCTGCTGTTATGAATCGGTTGAGGAAGGCTGCTGGTGCAGAGTTGAAGGTATAGCGTAGTGAACTGCACACAAATGCCTGGCATGGCTTTTTGTACAAAGTTCCTTTTGGCTTTGCTAGTATACTCTCCTCTTATGTCGCTATTTATGAGCAATGAAGCCAATGCATACGAACTACAGCCTGATTATTCATCCTTCTCTAGCCTTATGACTCCATCGGCACTCTCCGACGTCAACGGTCGACACCGTCGTTGAACTCCACTTATCAGAGACAATCTTCGATTCTTTTCTTCTATCTCAATAAGCATTCTCTGTCGCATCGTTTACTTTATTATTTTACCAGTCTGTTCCGGCGTGTTTACTCGATTGAGTATGTCCGTTGTGGGCCGACGCGAGCAGAACCAGATATTGGCGATTCACGCGCCTCAGAGCTTGAACGGGATTGAATGACTAGAATATATTAATCTTGCTGATAGAGCGCAGAATTTAGCGGGACGATTGATGATTCACGATTTTCCTATATAGTTAACTGCCGCATTTTGTGTTCATTTTCTCATTTTTCCTTTTATTATCCGGCAATCGCAAGTACAGACACCATGTGCCAAACCAAGCTGCACGAGTTCCTTCAAGGCCTCCCCAAATGCGAGCATCACCTTCACCTTGAAGGCTGCATGACACCCCAATTGATCTTCCAACTAGCCGAAAGAAACGGTGTCAAGCTGCCAGATCCCGAAACCAACCCAGCCTACGAATCCATCGAGACTCTCACACGCCGCTACGGCCATTTTACATCCCTCGATGACTTCCTCAGCTTCTACTTCCAGGGCATGTCAGTGCTCCTCCATGAGTCTGATTTTACAGATCTCGCATTCGCCTACTTCAAAAAGGCCCACGAAGACGGCGTCCACCACGCAGAAGTCTTCTTCGACCCCCAGGTCCACCAGCAGCGCGGTATCGCCTACGAGACTATTGTCTCGGGCTTCGTTGCAGGATGCAAAAAAGCAGAGCAGGAATTGGGTCTGTCAACCCGTCTGATTATGTGCTTTGTGCGCCATCTCCCCGTCGACTCCGCGCAAAAATTGTACGAGGAAGCTCTTGCATATAACCACTTCGAGAACGGCACGCTGCACGGACTCGGCTGGTCGAGCAGTGAAGTCGGTCCGCCAAAGGATATGTATCGGGAGCAGTACGCATCTGCCTCTGCCAAGGGTATCCCACTAACCGCGCACGCGGGCGAAGAGGGCGATCCGACCTACATCAGCACGGCGTTGGAGCTAGGCGCGCAGCGAATCGATCACGGGATTCGGTTGGTAGAGGATCCCGAGTTGATGGAGCGGATTGTCCACGAGGAGATTCTGTTAACTGTGTGTCCGTTATCAAATGTGCGATTGCGTTGTGTGAGTGCGCTGGATGAGGTGCCGATTCGGAAGTTCTTGGATGCGGGTGTGAAGTTCTCAATTAACAGTGATGACCCGGCGTACTTTGGGGGGTATATCTTGGATAACTACTGTGCAGTGCAGGAGGCGTTTCAGTTGTCGTTTAGAGAGTGGAGGGCTATTGCTGAGAATAGTGTGAGTGGGAGTTGGGTTTCGGAGGAGAGGAAGAAGGAGTTGTTGGGGCGGATTGATGAGCATGTTCGGAAGTATGAAGTTGAGGCATGATCAAGTAAATGATATATGACTATATATAGAAGACGGATTGGGAAGGCGGTCGTAAACGATCTGCTATATTGATACTGTTCTTGGATTAGTACATTTAAAGATCATGTGATCTTTATCTTCCAAAAAAGGAAATTCATTGCCAGGCGAACAACACAGTTTCGTGTCGTTACTGGTTGAAAACTCGAGATTATGGCTATATTTTAGTTGAGCGACTGCTATGTTTACCATGTATTTGTGTTTCTATAGGAAATGTCGCTGGGATTTTGTTTTAGACTGAGACTCGAGCGCTTGAATCGAGTACTATTGATCGCCGCAAAAGTCCATATTGACCCAGAAACTAGAGAAACGGTGAATTGTAGTCTCAGATCTAATGAAAAGAGCCACGGAAGAATGAATTGGTATGTAATCTGTAATAGGCGACATTGAGTGGCCGCCGGGGTAATACGCCTGCATCCCCTCACAGACAGTCGGCGGCTTCATGCTTCACTCTGCATCATCTTCACTTTCACCATATTTTCTCCCCAAGAAACATTTTCCTACTCTTCGTCTCATCCACACAATTCTTCTATACCTCTTTACGAATATCTCTTTTGCCTTCCGTCGCTACTAAGTCCCTTCCTCTACCTGCAGCCTGTTTCCTCTGGTGTTACTTTTCTGCCACCCCTCTTGCGGAGCGTCAGCAACCCCGTTACCACGAGTCTCCCAGCGCTTTCGCCACCAGATATCCATCTACAGTGACTTATTCGTCCTTTTCATCCGACAAATACCTCCTCAGCTACTTTGAAGCCATACAGTGACTGCTGTTAATCCACGATCCCTGCGATATCCTCTCGAACAAGCACCTACCGTCCTACATCCCCGTTTTCGTCCTTTCACGACCTCCTTTCCTCCTTACAGTCCCACGTTCCTTCACCCGCGTTAGTATATTTTTCCTGAAGGATCGATCGAATAGTTGTATGTGTTGAGGCGGTCTACGGATATCCAACACTAGCACACTGGGTGGACGGCCGTACGGCCGTCTCACATTGAAACGCGGGAGGAGGTTCTCGAAGCAAAGAAAAGAAGGGCTAGCTATTGTGTTATAACGGTCAACTACGAATAACGGAGGTGTTATTTGATATTATTTGAACGTGTCTCCAGAAAGTTGCAAGCTGCCTACTGAGGTTTCCTTCCGGTACTCGTCTTGCCACTACGTGATATTGTTGCACTTGCGTTTGGATTAGGCTATGGACGCCCAGTACCCCTTTGCTTCTCGTGACGATATTTGGCGGGTTTTCGACGAACTGAAGGATCTTCACGTCGCGCAGTTTGAGCAGGCGGAGCGGATTGCGAGGTTGGAGCGCCGGAGGGACGAGGATGCGAGACTGCGGAGTGCTTGGGGACCAGTGTCGCCTTTTTTGACTCCTATTGGGGGGCCTGTTGCCGTAGGTATGTTACGGTTTTGTTTCTGGTGCTGGGATATGTACTATACTGACGGCTGATTGCAGAGTCAGCGTACCACTCCCCAACCGACGCGTTCAAAGGATTTGATCAAGGGCAACACGGCGTTATGAATACTATGGATGCGGAAGAGGAACCGAGGCGAGGAACATCCAGGGCAAACAGTGTTCGGTTTGATGAAAGTGCGATTCACGGGTACTATGGTCAAGCCAGTCGGTCCACCAGTGAGCTTCCGCTGCGGACCGGAAGTGGATTGGCAAGCTTACCGTTGTCGGAACGTTCCTTATCACATCGGTCTGATGGAAGGTTGAGCTCGTCCGGCCAGTCCCATCATTCCGCGCGTACCAACAGTTTAGGTCTGGAGACGACCAGTCGGATGATGAGTTCGTCGGCCAGTGATTCACCTCTCATCCCTCCGCCAGGTCTCTTTCTGTTGGGCCCGGTACCATGCATTATTCGCTGTTGGTTGACTACGAACTTTTCCAATGATTCTCTCCTTTATGCCGCTGTATGTTCAGGCTCCTACATGTCGTCGTTGGGCTACCCAATGGTACGGAAACTCGGTTTGGAGGGTTTGATGACACAGGAGGAAGATTCCCGTTTCATTAAACTGCCGTTATATCTTCCGGAAGCGAGCGTGCATCAGACGTCATCTCGTTGCAGTAGTCCAGAACCGCAGCTGCCGGCATTAACCATTCGATTCCTTGTGCGCAACGTTGATCCAAACGACCAGTCTATTCAGATCGTGCTTGGAAGCGATGTTCTTCGTTCACACAATGCAGATATTCTCTTCTCACAAGACAAGATTATCATCGTGGATGATGAGAGGAATAAGGTCTCCATACCTCTTGTACGGCCGGAAAACGACTCCGTCTTCAGATCTCTTTCCACTGTGACTGATGCCTCGCGTGTTGAACCTTTGACGCGTTTAAGACAAGAGAGCGAACCACAGACTAACGGACATGCCCCTGCTGGTGTGATTGGCCAGCCAACAGTCAGCACCATGCACCGACAGTCAATATCCGTGCCTGCTTCCGCCAGAGACTCCGAGGGAGAGGAAGAGCGAAAGCTCCCTAGCCGCCCTTCGACATCGCATCAAGCCGGCGATACTAGCTACCAGCAGGGACCAATCAAGCCAGAAACACCCACTGAATCTCAACCCAACACACCTACTGCACCTGGCGCTCACGTCTGGGGATCCTGGAGACGTGAAATTAAACCAGACTCGACCGCTTCTACGCCAGCGACAAAGCCATCACGGGGTCGTACAATGAAAGTCCTCCGTCCTACAAAATCTTCGACGCGAATGTCGACACAGGGCGGTACGGATACCTCCGCAGAACAACAGAGTAATAACAGCCAGATTCAGTACCAGTCCGAGAATAATCGGTTGAATAAGCAATGGGGATCGAATCCTGTTGGAGGCGCATCGGCGTTTGGGTGGTTGAATCCGTCACAGCCGAGGTAGTTTGAGAAGAATCCTAAGTGGAAAAGATTAGGTGTTTCTTTGTCTCGTTTTAGTTGCTTGTCTGGGAGTTGTGATCGTATGGTTTCGTGGCAAATGTCATGAGCTGCGCATTCTTAGTGATGAATCGAAATACTTCATAGGGGGCTTTATACCTGAACTATTTACAGTAGCAAAGCCGATCACATCTTCGCCAAAACCCCCAAAGCCTCCTTCGTTTCCTCCTTTGTCTCCTTAACCAACCCACTAATCGCCTTAAACTCCCCCCGATTCGCATCCCCCAATATCTCAAAAATAACCCCCTCACTCGTCGTAACTACAACCCCCGCATCCCTCAACCTCGCCAACGCAACCCCCCTCTCCTCAGCATTCATACTACTCACCCCATCAACAACAACATAAACCCGATGTCCGCAATCCAGCAAATCAAGCGCCGTCTGCGTGACACATACATGCGTCTCAATTCCCACGATAATCGCATCGAGTGGCGCCTCCCCCTTGGTGGTGTTGGGAAGAAGAGGAATGATCTCGGGCGTTACCATTGAGAAAAGCGTTTTGTCGACATTGGCGCGGATATGGGGGCCTGTGAGGTGCGGCTGGAGGTCGGTGATCGTGTCGCCGAGGCGGGACCGGTTTTGGGTGGTTATGTAGGTTGGGATTTGGAGGGTTGTGGCGGCTTTAAGGAGTTTGGTTGTTGTGTTTACGCTGTTCTTTTAGTTTCGAGATCTAGAAGTTGTAGTGGTTGAGGAGGGCGTACAGTTTGGGGAATTCGTAGATGCCAGGGCGGAATTTCTCTTGGATGTCGCAGATGCTATTGTCTTGTGTCAGTCTCTAGATTTGGTGTAGTTGGCCACGGGGACGTACAACAGGGCCGGGTTACCTAGTTCATGGTTAATTCTGATGTACGAGGTTGGGGTGCTCCAGGGACTCACGGATTCGACATGCTCTTGAAATTGAACCCATTTTGGTATAGATTTGGTATATATCGCTATACTCGATTGCTGTAGAACAGGATGAACGATGGCGAAGGAGTGAGATTAGAGAAATGCTGCGGAGAATATCGGAGCGGGGAAAGATTGTGCGGGGAAACGGAAAACTTCTGTTGCCTGATTCATCAGGCATGTTTTGAGTTGGAGACTGCTGTCTTATGTCCCGGGTATCTATCTACTTTACAACACTGCCTACCGAGGCAAGATTACACCTTAACCTCCCGAATCTTCCCCCGTCCTTCAAACCAACTATCATCACCCTTCAGCGCCGCCTGACGGATAGCGTACAGCTCATCCAAGAAAGCAGGGACAAAGCTTCCTGGCCCGCGGACGTATTCCTTAGCCGCGGCGTTCTCGGCTGCGATTTCGTACATTAGGAGGCCGGAGAGAACGGCGAGGAGTTTGTCGGAGCGGTGAGTGGCGAGGAAGCAGCCGGAGATGGAGCCGATTGCGCAACCGGTCTGTTCATGGCTAGTATTAATATTGATGATTTTGGGGGTTAGGAATGGAGATGCGGGAAGGGACATACTCCGGTAACCTGACCCAGGAGTTCATGGCCATTTTCGACCGCGATCACGCGTTCGCCGTCGCTGAGGTAGTCGACGGTCCCTGTCATGAGGATGATGTTTCCTATGACTGTTAGAGTCCAAATAACCAAGAGATTAGAGAATAGGCCACTTACGCTTTTTCTGTGCCAGATCCCGAACCAAGGCAGCCTTCTGTTCACCACTGAGACTGCTGGGCCCACTGTCAACGCCGCGTTGTGTTGTCGCGTTCCCCGAGATATGCTTGATTTCCCCTTCATTTCCCTTGATGAGATCGAAGTAGCCGCCTGCCATGAGCGTATTAACCGCGTTGCGTCGGATCTGCGTGGCTGCTGCGCCGACAGGGTCGTATACGACAGGGTTACCACGCTCGTTGTAGTCTTTCATGGCTTTGAGGTTGTTGGGGATGCTTTCGCTGGTCAGGGTGCCCATGTTGATGACTAGAGCACCGTCGAATTGGGCGATGTCCACGGCTTCGTCGCCGTATGGAGACATAATGGGAGATGCGCCCCTGGCAGTTGTTAGATTCTAGGTTGCACAGTAGGCATACAATATAAATCAAAAACTCACATGGAAAGCACAACATTCGCAACAAAGTTGGCCACGACATAATTAATCATGTTATGCACCAAGGGATGCGCCTTGACAACTTCACGCACAATCTCAGGCACCTCACTCAGCAATGAATTCGCTTCGTCTGCCCGCGGAGCTTTGGAAAGTGTAGCAAAAGGAGCTGCAGCATTGATCCGCTTTGCGAAATCATCAGCAGCGGCCTTCGGGTCATCCGCCGCCATGATAGCGCTGACGATAGCAACACCATCTAGCCCCTTCCTAGGAGCCTGGGACTGGTACAGGACGCGTTGAACGTTGGACAGGTTGATTCCACCTATGGAGACGGTGCCAACGGAGCTGCCAGTGTCAGAGATGGCGTCGAGGATGGCTTGAGTGCCGGCGGTGCCGATGATGTGTTTTGTGTTGGTTTTTCTGTTGTCGTTAGGTTTTCAAAGAGACGAGATTACATTGGCCAGGAATACGTACGTTGGTGTCGCAAACATAGTTCCTATCCCGAGATAGTCAGCACCAGCGTCGATTGCTGCTTGGGCTTCCTCGACGGAAGCAGCGCTGATACCGATGATGGCATTTTCGGGGAGGATTTTTTTTGCTTCGGTTATGACTACCATAGTCAGTTCAAGTCTCGTTGGCCAGTGTCGAGCGAAACATACGCATATCATCCTGCCCCAAATGAACACCCTCAACACCAGCCGCAAGAGCAACATCCACCCGATCATTGATCAGCAACGGCACGTTATAAGCGCGAGTAATCCCGTGCAGCTTCTTGGCCGTCTCGACCTGAGCGGCCGTGTCACTTTTCTTATCTCTGTACTGGACAATGGTTACTCCTGGATGGATATTAGCGGGAAAGTAGCATTAGACACGGGGAAGAAAGATGATTTCTGACCTCCTTTAAGAGCCTCCTCCACGACAGCGCAGATATCCCGGCCTTTGAGGATTGCGGGAGTTGAGTCTGTGACTAGGTAGACGGAGAGGTCTAGGGGGGTTTTTTGAGCCATTGTTCTTTTTTTAACTATTTATATTATTGGGGTTGGGGTGTTATGGAGGGGTTGAGGTTTTTTGCGATGACGTCGGGAGGGATGTGGGTCTACGCCGGAGGGCTCTCTCCGGCCCTAATCACGGCACTATAAGCAACTGCATTCATATATTTCTTTTGTGTTGAATTACCCCAGAATTATCGTAGACTAATGCTCTTCCCATCAGCACGGCTATGTCGGGAAATTCATTCAGAGGTGTTCAATACAAGCATCCAACACGTCTATCAAACCATGCAGTTAGCTATCAATGCCACCAAAATGTCTTACTGGCCACCCCACGGACTGCAGCTGCATACCCCAGATAACTATATACAGTCATGTTGCTTCCGCCCTATTTGTGAATCTATTTCCCCGGACATGTGCGATAAGAAGTTGCCGCTTCCATGCGACAGTCGGGTTGATGTCTTGAGCATGCTACGTTTAGTCTTTCCAGCATTGGAAGCTTTTCTCGGAAAACTACAGCAAATTGCTTTTAGTATTGATGTGTGGGTGGCTGTCGATTGGAAATATCCGCGGTGGATATGGGATTACATGTCTGTTCGAACCCATTGGTTCGATTTGGGGATGAGAATGGATCACACATAGTAGACTGATTACCTCACGTCAGATTGCTACGCATATAGATTGCCATTATCAGTGGAACAAGAATGAGACATCATTTTCTTGAAGAATTCCAATTGCCAGGGAACAGGCAATAGGGGAGCCTATATAAGACGGTGTTAATCTAGCATTGAAGCATCAACGAGACAGACAGTCAAACAGAAATACAAATATTAATTCAATTGTTTACCATAAAGTTCACTATTCTCGTTCCTTAGGTCTCGCCCTCTTTACTGCCCTTGGCGCGGTGGCCAGCCCGGTCGACTTTGATTTCAACTCCCTGGACGTGAGAGACGAAGCCATTGAAGCTGTAATTACTGAGGCCAATGTCTTTGATGAAGCCAGCATTGCTGATGAGGCTGGTGAAATCGATGTCGCCGCTGAAAATGGCGAAGCTGGTACCTTGATTTGTTACGATGGAGTAAGTGCCCTCTCTGATATCTGTTTCAATGTATTAAGGAAAAAGAATTAACCAATTGCATTACCATCAGACCTGCTCCAGCCGAAACAATCAATGCCGCTACAGGGCCCAAAGCGGTAAGACTGCTATTTGTCGTTGCCAGGTCAAGAGGGTAAGCGATTTTCATACCCCGATGTTTGTTATTTTCATGTTTTTGGCTAATTTGTTTTCTACTTAACTTTAAAGTGTGGAAGTGCGCACGGAAAGTGCTTCTTTGACAGCGTTAATAGACATTGCACTTGCTACTAGGGATATCATCTCGTTACCCAAAAGATTGTCTCTAAGGGAGTTGTGGTGAAATGAGATTTTTTTCATTACGAGGAAGTGGCGCGGTTAGTGTATTTAAACTAAGTCATTCGTATACTATGAAGGAGCCTAGGTCAGTAATTAACAAGTCTACTCGTGAAAAACATGTTCTTGGACTTGATGAGAACATATAAAATGGTTTCATCACAACTATCCCCAAAGCCTGGTGATTTCAGATACAGAACCATAGTCGGTGGAAGCAATGAGCAATCATGTAGACCTGATGAGAAGGGGATATTGAATGCTCTCGAAGTCTCGAAAATAACATGACCCACCATAGCTCGGAATCGTCCCCTCTTGACCAATTTCTCCAGATCCGAGAACGCTTTATCCTGACGCAAACCGTCACCTGTGGCCTCATACCCGGAGAATCTTCGAGTATCTCTCCTCAACATGACTCAGCATGATCTCCATAGCCTCAGCAGCGCCATTCATTCTCGAAAACTCGTGGAACACCAATAGAGAGATTTGGCAAGGTCTATCCTTATTGAGATGCGTAGAGGCAAGCTTGGCGAGAAAGGACGCAAAATCCGAACGCTCGTTTGCCTTCAAGGTCGCAGTCATTTACTCAAAGTCCATCATATCGCGAAAAAAAAAAAAAAAAAAAAGGCAGGTCATTCCAAAGAGCCCCAGCAGGGGTCCTAACAATGTAAAACCCACAGCCGCTTGGTGCAGGTCTCATCAGCGGTCCTCGACCCTTGGTGCGCACGACATCAAGAACCAGCCATTATGTTCAGCACTTTCATAGGAGAGATGTCTGCTTCCTTGGTAGTATATATACAAGAGATCACGCAGGACGGGTTCAAAGGAGTCAGCGGAATCCCCAATCCGACTGTGTCTCGCGCCGATATACTACGTTTTGTTGTAGGTTGCGGAACGGAGGTCATCGAATTCGCCTCGTTTAATAGCCTCTCGCACTGATTCGCGATCTCCAGCAAAGGCGGCTGCGAGGATGGGATCGGGATCATGTCTGGGTGATGGGCTTGTGGAGTCTGCTCGTAGGACTTCCATTGTGAGTTGAGATGGAGGTGAGGCGATGGGGAGAGTGTAGCGAAGAAACGAGACTAGGTGGATGTAATGAGCTGGCAACTCTCGTATCAGGCAGCAACAATACTATATGATGTAATTATCTAGCATTCACTTCGGGGCCTTCTCCCGGCGGCGAATGTTGGTAGAAGCTGCTGGTAGCTTGTGTAGAGCTAAGGCACATAGCGGTGCGAACATGTTGGTGGATTAGGGCACTATGCTAACTACGGGCGACGCATTTTCAGATTGAGTAACCCAAGTTCACGTCCTGAGCCATTCAGCCACTCATCTGTCAGATACATCTACGTCCAGGCATGCTATCACCCCAAATAGCACCAGGTTGCTAAGCCCTAGCGTGATGTCTGCCCAAAGTACCATACCGAAACTGCAGGGATTAACCTTGAGACGGTTGACATTCAGCACCCCAAAGCTCCTATCAGATTTTGCAGGCATATCCCTGTAGCCCTGTATCCTCAGATCATTCGTATACCACGGTTCATGCTGAGTGAGACCCTTTGAAGGGTAATTTCGGACCGAGAAATGATAGCAGCAAGAAGACGTCATGGGGAATGGACAATGGTGTCTTTTAGCAAGGATCACTAGTCAGCAGCGATTCACTGAATTCCACAGCATCATGCAGTGGTTGCAGAATACATACCCCGTGCTGCAAAGGGCCATACGTAGTTGCCAGTGCGACCTAGCATGCTGAACGCTCTAACCGGTAATTGATCATGCTAACTGTTGGTTGAGAGACATCAAAACCTGTTATTCTACCAGTTAGCTGGGTGTTATAATGTAATTAATACACTGATACCGCCAAGTTCGACAGGGTTCCGTAATTGTATTACCAGCCAATATGTCGGAATATAGAGGTTCCTTACCGAACAATACCAACTGATGCCTGATTGATGCCTTGCTGATATCATATGGCGAAAAGCAGCGTATTTACTCTGCTATTACTGCTTTTGAAACCGCACAATCGCTTAGTATACTCTATAAGGTATTTACGGTCGTATATAGGATCCTAGATAGCACACTTTTGCAAGAATCAGAGACCTCAACCATATACGCTTGATACGTACTTTCAACCCTGACTAAGCCACATTTCCGACAGTTATGAGCCCGGCTTGTCTCTA